CTCTATTTCTATTTGTTAAAGAAACTGGCTACCCCCCACCCACCACTGCCTGGTTGCGTGCTGATTATTTGGGCACTCTGAAGGTGACAAAAACCCAGAGATCTCCTCAGTAATTGTGAGCATCTCTTGTGCAGAAATCCTCATCTGTCCTGCCAACGGGCGGCTGAGCACGAGCTTAGGTGATGTCTTGTTTCCTCAGCCCTGAGGATGTGTCTAGAGGGCTGTCACCCTCTCCAGACCCCTGTTCTGCAGGCAGGAGCAGCCACCACTCTCCCAGCCAGGAGGGGCTGCTGGCTGGAGCTGCCAGACACTTCACAGGTCCAAACTGGGCAGAGCTTTGATTTCTTTGCTCCCCTCGACCTCCAATCCATCTCCATCCACAGGAGGACTGTGGGCAGCCCTGATCTTGAATTCTCCACCCCCTCCCAGATCTTTCTTATCTGTACATCTGCCTGCTGCTGCAGCCACGGCTTTCCCATGCACAGGCACGCCCAAGAAAGCCTCATTTGTGCAGAAACTTCTGACGCTGGCAGTGGTCACTTGCAACGATCCATCTGCTCAAATACAGACAGCTCTGCACCTGTTCTCTCAGTATTTCGGGTATTATCTGATGTTCTTCTCCCCTTCCACCACTCAGCTGTTCCCTAACAGCTTATTGGCCACATACATATTAATTCATAATAATGAGCAGCCTGTTCTCTGTCCTCAGGCAGGTCCTATGGGTTCATTCCTCTTTCTCAGATGCATTTCCAGCTGCCTCCAGCTGACCAACACCGACTTTGGCTCTGCCTTTTTATGCACCTGAGCAGAAGTGGTGGAAAATCTTTCTCCTCTGCAGCTCTCTGGAACAGCCTTTACCCTATCTCCTGCTTCATCAGCTTCATCTTTAGATCATGGCTAATCCCTATGGCTAATTCTTCCTTCCCATTACTGTTCCAATCCCTTCAAGCTAATTTCCTCCATTGTGCTTGTACTTATTCCCAGAGTGCTACAGGTTGCAGGGGTAGAGGGTTCTCCTTCCACCTCCTCCCCAGCTGAGAAACCACACTGGCCTGGAGCTGGACACAGGGAGAGCCTTCCTGACCACCTGTGTGGGTCCTCTCAGTGGCTCTTGAGCCTTCAGCCTTGCTCTCTTGGAGTTCCTGTTACCTTTGTACCATTTCCAGCACTGATGTTCTTAATGGGAAGATGTTGGGATAAAAAAATGCTAAGCTGATGCCATAGCTCTGTCTGAGTGCTCTGTGAGCATTGCAGTGAAGAAGAGCTGTGGAGCCTGGTGATCAGGGAATAGCCTTTCAGAGAAGGGCCCAGTTGCAGAGAAAGGTTCTGCAAAAATGAGGTGGGGCTGTCTAAGGTCTCAGGACACCCCCTCCATGTAATTCCCGCTCACAGGACACTGTGTCCCCTTGTCTTCTGGGAAATGTGGGAGAGCAGGCCAGGAAAATAAGAGTTTGAAGGAAGTTTGGCTTTTGCTCATTCCTACCCCACATCTACCCCCCCACCCCGTTCCTTCGTGCTTACCCAGAGCCTGTCCCTGCTGAGTCTCGGGCACCTCCCAGGTATTACTCACCACCTCCTCCCTCCAAACAGGAGATCTCTACAGGAGATAGGCAGACACTGTGAGCCCTGCTGGGACTGGTGTCCTGCCTCCCAAGTTACTGCTGGTAACTCTGGAGGTGAACTGCACCATTGAGTTTCCACCCATCGTGGTGTTCAAGCAACAAAGCTTAGCTTGAATCCTTTTGATATTAATCAAAAATATCATAGAATCATAGTAAAACCAATACAGGTATTTCCCAAAGAAGCCATCAGATTCTCTGTGCTGTGGAATGCTGTGATGTGTGTGCAGTGTGGTTGAACCTAGTCCTTCACAGCCTGAGTTTTTAATGTGGGTTCATTTTAAACCTAATGGAAGGGCCAACCAAGACCCCATACCCACCCTCCTCTCCTCCAACCAACATAAAGCTGTGTCAAAAAGGAAGTGATTATAACCTGGGTGCTGCTCTTGTCCATCTTGCCAAGTAGGAACATTTACACACTAAGAAGTTCAACATCACAGGTGAAAGGATAAGAAAAGACAAGTATCTTGGAAAAAAAATTGAACCTCTGGTAACACTGCAGAGAACAGATGATTTAAGCTGAAAGGAATTTTTAGTAGTCTGGGGAAAAAAACCAAAAACTTTATTCTTTGGTCTCTGCCAACAGAAAAAAAAATAAAAATGGAGAAGTACCTTTAAATATGGCTAATAAACTTCCCTGCTTGGGGCAGGAAAAGAAATCAGTTTGTAGTCTGTCAGCCTACTGGCAAAGTCAGCTGCTCATGCAACTCAGTGCTCTGTTCAAACAGAGGGTAAGTCTGAAAGCTGCTGCAGACCCTGGCTGCTGGAGGTGCAGAAGGCAGAGCACTGAGGTGCATTGCAAGGCAGGGACTAATCCTGTCACTGCCCTGTACAAGTAAGAGGAATGAAAAGGGACTTAAGACATATTTATCACAGCTCCTGCACTTTTTTCTTTGATGGCCCCAACACTCATCCATAGTGGGACACTGCCTTTAACAGAGCTAGGAGACAGCCATGATGCCAAGGGCTCCAAAACTGTGTGTGGACACCTCTTAAAGCTCATAAGGAGATTTAAAAGCAGATTTATGAAAAAAAAATCTGTTTTTTTTTGTTTTCTGCTCCTATTTGATAACATCAACATTTATGGTCTTAGTTCTAGGATAGTGAGGGGCATGGAAATCAGTATTTTTGAAATTCATCAACCAAAACTATAATGGGGCCTTTGCATGCACCCAAGCCCACATATCTCTGGAAAGAAGGTGGCTTGAGAAATCCCCAGTGATGGGTAAATTGGGAGCAGTCACTTGCACTCAAGTGTATTTGCTCACCTGGTTGTTTCAGATACATTTCTGGCCAGGGCTCATTTTGCTCTTTCTCTGTCCCCAGAATGGAGCTGACAGCTCTTTATCTGTCAGGGGGACTACAGGGTGACTTGCTGAGTTTTTTTGGGTTTTATTGAGTCTCTCCAGAGAGGCACACAAGAATGGAGTCACCAGCAGCCCCTTCTCTTAAGCTGAAGAGGATACGTCCCAAACTAGAAAGGGCTGAGAAAAAGTAATACAGGAGGTGGGGAAAAAAAACCCAACCCAAAAACCAGCAAATTATTTTTACCTAGAATGTTTGTCTGTTTTGTTGTAGCTTTTATTTTACACTGATTCTCCTGCCTTCTTCTGATGAACAGTGTTTTGATGGTGGTGGTCTTTAAATGATCCTTTTCCTCCCTTTTTCCTATTTTGTCCTTTCTTCAGCTTTGCATTTGCTTTGAAAAGCAATGCACTGCTATTAATTTTCTCACAGTCACTTGCACTCTGGTTGTGTACAATTTTCCTTTTCCTTTTCACTCCCAGTACAATGTCTCTACCACCTTCTAGTGTCCCCAGCACAGCTCTAGCTCTGAGGGAACATCAGCAATCATAGAACAATTATTCAGGGCCATGAACCAGTTACAAGGCAGGTAATTATTTATCAACATTTCAAAGCTGTCTCTGTTTGGGGTAACAGATTGTTCAGCTGTTCCTGCTCAAGGGGCTTCACATAACAATAGTGAGGCTGCAAAAGGTCGAGGTTGGGATGAACATCTAGAGCTGTGTGTGGGGACTGCAGACATCTGCTAACACATTGCTGAGCTCTGAGCCCTCCTTTTTTACTCATGGGGTTGTCAGCATGAAATGTCTCCTGGATCTGTAGGCTCAAATAGGAGGTATCTTAAAGAGAAATTAAAATCCACAGGAAAGTCCATGGACTACATATGGATTCTGTGCTCCACAAACACGGGGCACAGGGTAACTGGTCTGGCTTCTTTGTTCCCTGCCCGTGCAAACCAGCCCAGCAGGGATGGGCTGTGGCTCCCACTGAAACCAGCTCTTCAATAAACTGATGGTGACACTACATGGGGACACCCAGCCCGAAATGCCACGTGACATCTTCCCAAAGGTGGAGATTGATGGGCTCAACCTAAATTAATTAAGAAGCAGAACCTTAATTAAGAAGCTGGTTGCTTCTGAAACAGCTAACACACTTCAAAGGGCTGAAGCCATATACTTAATGGGAACAAAGAAGAGAAAACAGGGTCAAAACAGACCATATATGTGCCTTGTTCTCACCCCATTCATCTTGCACACGGGGGGTGCTCTGCCGACATTGTAAAAAGAGCAGTGGAACATCTGCCACCCAAAGGAGAATTGGGGAGTGTGGGAGGGGCGTGTGGCTTATTGAAAAAAAAAAAATTCTGCTCCCCCACGGAAGCAGAAGATGAGCCAGATGTACTTTTTTTCCCTTCTACTAAGTCCTGGTCTTTTTTCCATTGATTTAATTTGATTCCGGATATCCCTCTTATTCTTTTTTCTTCTTTTCCTAGTTAGGTGGTTTCACTTTGTGAATGCAGGAGACAAACTGATCCTGTTTCATGCTCTCATCATACCAGGTACAGCTGTCAGCTGAGGGGCAGGTGGTTTAAGCAAAAAAATAGTGAGTCTCTTGAAAACATGTTTTTAGGACCTCATTTTCTCCAGAGCTCAGTGTCCTGGAAGAAACAACCTCAGATAACTCCCGAGCTCCTCAGCCAGTTCTAGCTGCTCAGTTAATGATGCATTTGTACCATTTATTCTGTAACATTTTGAACAGGCACTTCCTGCTCCTGGAATTTAGAGAGATGGGTGGTTTTTCCCATTGCAATGGTGGGGTTTAAATGGTGTTTCATGAAAATCCACCACCATGGCTTTAGGAAGACAGGCAAGAATGAGGATGATGGACTCTTCATTGAACACAGCTTCCAGATGTGCCAGCTCTCCAGGCTTCTGTAGATCCTGCTGGATCTCCCTTGCAAGGTACACAGGCATTTCTGCAAGTCTGGCCTTGTGCTATTTTGGAAAAGGGTTTTTTGAAAGCTACATCCAACATTCAGAAGAGATTGAGGTAAGAGATTACCACAAATGCACAAAACACTTTCATTTTCTTTATTTTCAATTGATACTGTATGAATACAAAGTTTCTAGAAAGCTACAAAAATTCTACCACTTTATCAAGAAGGCATCAAAATGTGTCACTTTGCAAAGACATGAAAACACCTGCAGTAACCGACACAAAAATAGCATTTTTAGAGTGATGAAATAATTGCACTTAACTGTCATGGATATTAAAGTTATCACACATATGTACCGCGAAAGCTAGAATACATTTTTTTTTTACAAAGCACTTTATAAAAAAATTCTCTGCACACAAAACCTATAATTTTCATATTACTATCATACTAAAGATAAAGTCACTTTAAAGCCAACACTTAAAACATTTTAAACAAAAAAAAAAAAAAAAGGTACCAGTACCTACACACAGACAATAACAAATACAAGAATACTGTACTGCCAAGAGGTTTGACTGAAACTCCTTTTGAAAGCTTCTGCAAATATGTGAAGAAAACATTGGAGAACATTCAGTTTTTCCCAAGAGCCTTCCCTCACTGTCTAACCTAGAGGTACTTTATCATCAAAAGGCAAGTTCTACATCAAAAGTTACCAGCAGCAGTACAATATTAAAGTAACCACTGACCATATATGAATATGCTTAAGTCACAAACCCATTTTATACACATTACACAAATAAACATAAAGTGAGAATTCCATTAAGTCATTTACAAATGTGAACAAATGCACATGGCAAAAAAACCCCAAAACAAAACAAAAACCCAACCTGTTTTACATAAAATGTACTGAAGAATTAAAGGCTATTCAGGTTTTCAATGTTATAAAATTCTTTTGTCTTTTTTTTTTTCAGGCACATATTGTATTTTTTGTCTGCAGTCATGAGCCTGAATCAGAGGCCCATAAACAAAACAAAACAAAACAAAAACAAAAACACATATTCTGTAAGGAGGTAACAGGGATCCATCTCCTTTTAGTCAACTGAGTGCATTTAAGATTTAATTTACACACTAAAACTAATTACATGATCTCAGCAAGAATGACCTGAAAAGTTAAAAGATGAAGATGTCCAGAGTGTTTCTTGTACTTTGACTTATTCAGCCTCAATCTTTCTTGGGGGGGGGCTAAACATCTGGTTATGAAAGGTAAGAGGGGGAAAGGAGATCATCCTGAGCAAAGGACAAAGCCGGGCTCGACTCCTCACATCCGCCTGTGCCCGGGCACATGTATCCTCGTGGGAAAAGGAAAGGGGGGACAACATCAGGGCTCTCAGCGTGACTGACTGAGGGCTCCAGGAAACTCCCAGGGGCACTGCTTCAGGCAGCAGGCGTGCCCCAGGACTCGCAGTGGAAAAATAAATAGATATGGATTAGCACATCAAATGTCGTATCTGCCTCGGACTGGCCAGTTACTTACATTCAACATTAATGTACACCCTTCATTATTCCCAACAGCCCATCCCGTGGGAACCCACGGGACGAGCCACTGCCAAGCTGAGCTGTAGCTGTGGTGGAGAGGGAAAGAGAGAAACAGGCATTGGATCTGCGATTCCTTCAAAATAGTGGTGCAGTACCTAAACAAAATCAGTTTGGAATTCAAGTAAGTAAAACTACATTTGTTAGTAGTGATTTTTAACAGCCCCAAATGGTACCATTATGGTTGTTTGATTGAGACAGAGGTATAGCTTGTCACAAACATTGACTAGTACAGCCAAAATGTTTGGCAATAACTGAAAAAGTATGTTCTGCTTGTGGGCCAGAAGTGTCTTTGCCCTCCCTCAGTCTCATCGAGTTCAACAGGATTACTTGTCTTATAGAGGTAAGTGAGATTTAGACCTTGAAGGAATAACAAAAATAATATTTTAGAGAAAGGGAATTTGAATTATCACAATATTTACCACACAGTGTCACAATATTTCTCTATATAAAAAGTTACTCTTAAGTTTTCATCAAATACTTTAAAAATCAAGTTAACATTGTATTCACAACTATATAATCCCTCTGACAGCTTTTGGTTTTGCTGATATTTGTTCCTTCTAAAATGTTGCTCCTCTTCCCATTGATTTCAGTTGTGGTGGAGAGTATGGCCCCCGTTCACAGAATGTATCAAAACCAGACACATTATTAAGAGGAGCTATTTTTTTTTTCCCCCCAAGACATCACCTAGGAGGAAAACAAAACAACCCTGTGTTTTGAGTCGTGCTGGCCAGAGTTTCCCCAGCAGCACCTTCATCCACAATGCTCACACTCAACACTCCAGTGCTTAAACCCACATGATTGCATTTACCCTCCCTATGCTCAGTTTTCCATGCTCCTCTTGTTCTATGCATCCGACCTTCAGCACGCACAACTTTGTAAACAAAATCTTCTGCCTAAGCAAAGAATCTCCACAGATACCAAAAATATTATTAGAGGAGATTGATGAAGCCATGCTTGTCCACTGAAATTCTGTAGGATATGGATCTCTCATTATGCAGATGTGTGACTGGATGAAGAGAATATAAATGGGAATATCTTCATTTTTATATCACAGACAAATCAGTTGCTGGTTTGCAATGCTGTCAGAAATGGCAAACAGTAGATTTTTCTTCAGCAGGCTGATCATTAGCAAAATCCCTTTGCTATGAATGGTGCTCTTTTGTGAATGGAGGCCTGTAGATTCAACTTATTCCAATAAACCAAAGGCATTACGGTGATAACTAAATATTTTTGGTCTCTCTACAAATTGTCATTATTATGGCAGCACTTTTCTAAGCTGGAATTTCAAACCAAAGGCACTTTCATGCTAGAGTGCAGAAGAGTCACAATTAATTATTTGGTCATGAAATTTAAAAAGGCAGCATTCGTTAATACAATTCACTTTTCACGGAGAACTAGGGGATCTGTAACCTTTCCTTTTGGTATAGGCATCTCACTGCAATGGGACTGACTTGTACAGACAGCTGGTTTAGACCAAGCAGTCAAAGAGCGTTTCTGCAGGGAAAAATACGGATATTTAAAAAATGGAACCAATTAAGAAAACAACATATAAAATTTAATCTTCAGAGGCTAAAAGGTACTTCTAATATAATGCTAAGGCACTGCATATTGTAATGCTTTGGCAGCTCTCAATTAAAAGGTTCCTACAAAAAAGTAACAGTAACAAGATAAGTACTTCCAGCTTACAAAAGAGCTCACAGTTTACAGGCAGCCTGTTGGACTACACACCCCACACTCAACAGTTGAAGGATTAAGGCTTTTTAGAATTAACATATACAGGGTATGGATCATTTACAGAATTGTAAAGAAAAGACGATGGAAGTAGTTTCCCTAACATTACATATGTGAACACCAATAAACATTGTGACTGTTTATACCCTACAGTTATGGCATATGTAGTGTGCCAGATCCTACCAAAAAAAAAAAAAAAACCAACCAAAAACTGTACGTGGTTTTGCAAATTGACTTACATATTTTATATGCCTTAAAGAATTTGCTTGTTATTAAAAAAAAAAAAATCACCAAACCCACAATTCAAACCCTAAATAAAAGACAACTTTAGAACAAAAACCAAAAAGTAGTTTTTGACTTGTAACACCAAGTGCTTAGAATAAAGGGCTACCGTTAGGCTGTTACAATGCAGTGCTTTTCCTGATGTGATTGTTAGTGTTAAAAATGAGCGCTAAAAGAGACCTTGCCATGGACACGTTTCTCTGTTCACTTCGCAGAGTATCAACTGAAAGATCATCAGCCCTAATATCCACAAGCAGGTAACAGCTAGACATCACAGCAACCATCCAAACCATCCACCTCATGCAGTCGGATCAGGCTGAAGAATTAAAGCAGTCTTCCTTCCCCTTGGTGATGTTTGCATCCTCCTCAAACCCAAAACCTCACCAGCGTTAGGGATGGTCCTGGTCTGACCCACTACCTCGCCTAGGCTCTAGTTTAGTCCAGACATTTCCAAAGGACTGTGCAGGAATATAATTTAAAGAAAAGGATTAGAGTTGCTTGTTTGAAGACTACGGCAGTGGGCCCGGGAGTAAATTTGATGCTTGCATTGTGCATGGGAACTGTGCTGGTCACAGGAATGAATCGTAAGGAGTAGGGAGGAGGGGCCTGCTAAACCTGACCTTTGAGACTCTCCTAAGAACCCTCTTTGCTGATAACTCATCGCTGATCCCTAAGGTGGCATGTGCTTGGTCAGGCAGCCCTCAGCCTTTCAGACAAACGTTTTGCCCGAGAAGCCTCTGCTGGCCCAGCACCTTCCCAAACAACTTCTGCTTGGGCAACGAGGGGCAGCAGGGGGAGAGGAGCTGAGCAGCACCTCTGTCCTGAGCGGGAGGGGTGACACCGCTGCTCTCACGGGCGCAGACCCCGACAGCCGCTCACACCCGCGGCCGTGGTGCGAAGCCTGACAGTATCCAAACATCTCCAGCTGTGCTTCACTTCCTGGAGTCTTCCCTGAATTTATCGGAAGGATGAACACTACCACTGGGATGAACACTTTCCAAGAGGACAGCAAACCCCACGTGGCAGGCGTGTGTTTGTTTCAGATAAGGTCTTTGTCAGACCTGAAGAGACAACTGGGAGAGGTGTAAGAGCACCGTGATTGAGAGGAAAAGGAGAAGAAAAATAGAATTCTCCACTTTCCAATCTTCTTTGCCTGATGTTGGTTGTGATTTTCTAGCGTCTCACAGATATTAAAGCTGCTGATCCTTTCAGAGGTGTACACACTCTTCTTTCAAACACATCAGTGTTCTGCTCTCTGTTTGCAAACGATGCTGTCGCAATGTCAGTTGTTTCCGTTCACCTCTTGACTTCAGAGTTGCAAGTTTTTTGCTCAACTTATTAGAAAACATAGTTGTCCGTATAAAATATAACCTTGCACACAAGACTACATATAATGCAAGTCTAAATCTTCAGTATTTACCTACTTATTGCAAAATGAGCCATCTTTTTCATTAAATAATCAAATTTTCATATTAGTACAATACAACTTTATACTCTTTTAAAATACACTAGATATGTTAGGGGTAAAGGGGTGATGTTTTCTTTCTCTGCAATACCTGTTTGAAAGTTTAATGGATTAGAAGATTAGTTTTAACGTTGAGAAAAAAATACAAAATTTGCCTAATTTTAGGACCTGTCTGTTTCTATCAGGCATTTCTTAAGGCTATATTTTTCATTTGGTTTCAAACAGAAAAATGTTTCATTTTAAAAAATAATTTAGTGAATTACATTCGTCCATATCTTCCACCCTAATTAGTTACAAAGATAATTCTATAAAGATTACTAACTTTGTGTACTCATTTACAGTTATAGCTAAAGATTCGTTTCAATTTCACTTGCATTGTAAAACAAGTATTTCATGTTGGAAAAAAAACCCAAAATAAATTCTTATAAATGCTGTCAGTTTTTCCCCATGGCAAATGCTCTGTCATACATTTTTCTATCAGAATTAAAAATAGGCCTCCACAGACAGAGGCATTAGGTTCTTAAATACAGTCTTCCCAAAGAACTGTGGTTTACAAATTTGAAGAACACTTAAGTTTTAGAAATAATTTTTACAACTGTACCAGAATTTCACAGCTACAATTATATATGAACACATTAAAAATGACTTCACTAAAACAGGATTTAGAAAAATGTGGGTGAAAGTTGGGCCAGAGGCACTGCCACTTAGTGTTGAGGTTTACAGTCTGTGTTTTGATAAAGAAGTGAAATGAAGTGTATATATAAATAACTGCTCAGTCCTTTACAAGCCTGTAGATGTGGTGCTGTGCTCCATGTTCGCTGTTGGACACTTCGAACACACAAGCCATGCAGAGCAGGGTTTCTTGTGTATCCCTGTTTGTTACCACCTGTGAGGGGAAAGGAAGAGGCAGACAGAACATCAGACACCTGGAAACAGCAGGGCTGAAACATGAAGTGACCCTGTCGGAATCTGAGGTATTGATGATCCCGAGATTGTAGAAAGTCTCCGTCTTTCTGCCCCGCTGCCAAAGCAGAAGCCATAATTCGTCTGTGCTGTTTCAAGGTTGTTTATTCTGTTTATCTCTAACATGTTCTGCTGCCCTGCCGCAGCTCTGTCCTGCAGGGCAGCGTGTGGGGCTCTGCCCTCAGTGGGATGTTACAAACATTAAATACCAGAAACTACCTGTGCTGGATTTACAATAACGTGCCAATATCTGTCACCTACGTTGGACAGTGTGTCCCCAGCCTAAACCAACAGAAAAATGCCAACACCACAGTGAAACATGGAGGGCATGAAGAAGGAGAAAAAGGACAAGGCACACCCAATTTCCTCCATCTTGTCCCCTTTGGAACCCTAATCTAGAATCCTAAAATTTTACTTTTGCACCCGTGCCACACTTAATTATTACTGATATCAAACACTCAGAGCTGGTAATTCATCCTGTAAGATTGAAAACTCATTTTCATGCACAGAGATCACAGACAGTGTCTCTGAGGGCTCTGTCCAGGGGGGTTCCTGACCCCTGCCAGGGTCCCAGACCTTCCAGGGCAGCCAGAGGGAAGCCCTGGATTCCCATATGACCCGTGTTACCTTGGCCCTGCCCGAATCCCCCGGCAGCAGCTGCACGTGGCTCTGAGAGCTTGGCTGAGGTGACACCACAGAGCAACAGGGAAAGCAAGCTGGGTCACTGGATGAAACTGGCTCAAAGGCCACCACATGGCCCATTCTCTGTGCTTTAGGTCAGAGAATGTTGGGTGTTTCCTGCCTGTTTTCCATGCCCAAGAACTAATTAATGCCACTAACATCTGCAGCACTGCAACGGAGCCCCAGTAAGGACACATCAGGTTCAAAGTTGCTGCCTCAGGCTCTCTACAAACCCCAGGCTTGAATGGAAAAAATGGAGAAGTAAGCTGAAATTTGTGGAAAATAACAAAGATGTTTGTTCACACTCTCAGCCAGCTGCGCCTTTTCATCCTGAGCGTCTATAGTGCCCAGTGCCAGGAGAATTATTCTGAAGTCAGTGGGATGGTTTGTTTGGTGAGCAACAATGACTAAGGGATTTGGAAACTGGTTCCCAACATTACAAGCTGAGCAAGCCATACAAAGCCTGAGAGTATCTCAGAAATGGAAAAAGAAAAAAGCCAGTCCATACCAATAAAATTGTGAAGTTTTCCAAGACGCTGTTCATCATGTATTTCTCTGGTAAATGCTTCAGCTTGTGTATGAAGTTGATCATGTATTCACACATCGGAGAGCGGTTTATCCTGTACACAAACCGGCCATTCTCAAACCTTGCATATTCAGTCTAAAAAAAATAGAAACCATTCAGAACGTGATAATTCAGAGACAGAAAAGAAGTGGCTGGTAAATCTGTTTTTTCTCTTTTATTTTTGTGTAGACAGGAAAAAGAAAGTGGTTCAGACACACATACATGCACATGCTTGCTGACTCCCTGCCTTGCCTATGCTACGCCTTACTAAAAATGCAAGAGATCTTAATTATCAAAAATTATAAAATCACTACTTGTTCTCTAACCTGCAAATTAACAATCTGAATAGATGAGGATTATGAAGTCCCAGACTGAGTAGAAATTAATTAGGCCAATAACTGTGATAAGATGACTTTACAGGAGTTTTGAGGCACCTGTCTGCAACGGGAACAGCAAAAATAAGCTTATATATTTACATTTAAGTGTGCACATACAAACATTATTGCATTACTTAATAGGCAATTTATGAACTACAGAAAGATGCAGGACTACAGCTGGAAGCAAACCAGACTGACTTAGATTGCTGAGGGAGTGTAATGCTGTGACTCTTGGACTTCTGCTGGCAAGAGCATAATTGCTCAGATGGTGGTTTCTCAGGATTTTTGGTTTTCTCTAGGTTTGGAATAATAGAAATTATGAAAACCTTTTTTTGTTACGGTCAGAAAACATACTTAGTTTAAGAAGGACATAAACAGTGACCAGGACACCTATAAAGTCTCAACCTTCAGCTCTAGGCTAAAATTCCTCCCCCAAAAGTGTTTTGTACATGACAGATGTGGGTCTGGGGCTTAGTCCCCAGCTGCAGTATCACTGTGCAGCAAACCAACCAGAGACCTGACCACACCCCACAGGTCTGTGCAAGGGAAAGGTGGGATATGACTAAAGGCACATATCCCATCACAACACCCACCTCTACTTTTTCTACTACTTGCTTTCCAAACGAGCAGACTTTGGTGGAACAGGTGATTGTCATGTTTTCCGAGCTCTCATACTGACTGGTGACTCCATAAAATGCTCCTGTATCATCTTGGATGTTGCAGTTTAAGTCAGCCTGTGGGGGAAAAAGGTGAAGATTTGATTTTTTATTTGACAGCGTGAATAGCATAAGCTGCCACCAGCTCACCATTCTTTTCAGAAATAATTGTGGAAGCTTAATGGTGATGACAGTGACAGTGGAAAAAGTCCAACAGGGAACTAGCTGCCTAACTGTTGAAGTAAAAACCTTAGGAAATCAGAAATTTATTCAAATTTTAGACAATAAAACATGTCCCAGTATTCCTGTGGGCTACAGGTGACGTTCTTTTCTGGCAGATAGCTGATGAAATCCCCGGAGCAAGGGAATGATCACCTGTGAGGAGCCTGGCTCCAGAGCCAGCCCCTCTGAAGTGAACCTGCCTTCAGATTCAAATTCAGCCGAGCCAGCTGACAGCTTGCTTTCTCTTTTTCTTGTCTTAAAGCAATGCAATCCTCATGGCAGAGGGAGACAGCTGGGCAATGCAGGATTGCTCTCTGCTAAGGCTCTGCCAGGCCATATGGCATTGATTCAGCAGAATGCTGGACCCCACAGAGCAGTCTGCCACAAGCCCCAGGTTCTGTGTGCACAGAGCCATGCCCAGCACCAGCAAACACTGCTGGGAAGATCTGCTGCCTCCCAGCATTGCCCTGCAGCCTCAGTAACCAGCCAGCTGCCTTTGATAGGTACCATCAGAGACCAAGACTCGCAGGATCAAGCGAGGAGCAGCTCTACCTTCAATTATTCATTATCCAAGCCCTGTGCACAGCAGGATTAATTTGGCTACAAAGCAACCACACAGGTCACCTGCTGAATCTGCCCTCCCCGGGCCCACAGCAGGGCTGGAGCTGTTCTGCCACTCTGCTCTTTGACATCACGGACCCATTTCTGCTCATTTCAAAAGCCCTCCTCTTAAAAGCACTCCAGGGATATGCACAGCTGGATTTGTTGATTCAGGCATTAGCTCTACTGACATCTTTGATGCCCAGGGAGAGTGTGGGCAGGGTTTTCCTTTTATGTGCAAATAGCTGATCAGCTACTGCATCATAACAGCAAAGAATCACCTGAACTTGAAAGTTACGCCAAGGCGAGCATTTCAGCAGGGAAATGCACTTCTGCAGCTGCTTCACCCGCAAGTCTAGCTCTGCTTGGTTCTATTCCCAATACAGAAATGGAATACAAAATACTTGACAGGTACCTTCATGTTCACCCGCAGACTTTTTAAAAACCTTATTTACAGGCATGCTTACCTATGCCCCATCTCTGGAAGTGTTCAAGAACAGAGTGAATGGGGCTTTGAGTAACCAGGTCTAGTGGAAGGTGTTGGATTTAGGCGATCTCTAAAGTTCCTTATGACCAAACCATTCTATGATTCCAGTGTGGAGCACTCACCACAGTTCAGCTGCTACTTAATTTTTAACTTGGCAACAACTCATTAATCCTCCTTAGTGTCTGCAATCCTTATTTGTGGTATGGCCTTGTGAGGCAATATCCTGATAACAGCACACACTGAGCTAGTCTGTGGTACAGAGAAGACACAGGTCTAAGATTACTTGGGGCTGGCTCTGTAAATTAATCAGTGGAGCAGCCTCCTGAGGTTTGCACACAGTGACACAAACAGCCCCACAGTCACGTATTTCGCATGAGAGGAAGAAATCCTATCGCTGTTCCACCTTGTTTCTTGCACCTGCCCCGCACCAGGTCAGCAGTTAATGTTTAATGTGCATCTAAAGCAGGGCTGCCACAGGCAGCTGTGAGGAATTGGTCAGAGCTGATAGCAAGTAAGCAATTTGCCATCACAGCTGGCCTGCAATCAAAGCACGGCAAATATCTAAACACAGAGAACTGCAGCAGCCACTGGCCACGCCACCACTGCTCTGCTGGAATTTCTGAAGGAGAGGGACTTCTCCTAAAACAATTGCACTGCTGCAATTAATGATAATAATATCAGAAATCATCTCTTAAAATGCAATTATTCCTGCAGCTACCACAATTCCAGTTGTACTAGCAAAGCTTTTTCTTTCCTTTCAGATATGAGCAAAATATTTTAGAAATCATAACTAAACCACCCCTCAAAATTTCACCTTGTCAAAAATGAACTGCACAGACCTTGCATTTCGATCTGCAGTAGCAAATGTTTGGAGAGTTAAAAAAGGATAACTTGATCTGTTGCCTTATCTGCTTGCTTATTTTGAAGCCCGCTGAAAAAAATACTTAATTGTTCTATGTACACACTGACATTTAACCTGGAAAAGTAACACATGCAGCCATCTGTCACCCTCTGTTGTTCACTCCCACAGCTCTTCCAGCCCTTGCTGAAATCACAGGATGTGTTGTGTGTGTACACAACACATCCAGGCTGGGACCTGATGTTTCAGTGAGGAACACTTGAAACTATCACTCAATTGTCATGATTTGCTCGTATGCAATCACAACATGGTTGCAAAAGTCCCATGATGATCATATAGATGAGAATTATCTTTATTTACTTGTTTGCGCTTCAATTTTTTTTTTTTTTGAGTCTAGCACACAGTAAAGGTGTTTTCAAGGAAGGACAGAATTATCTTTGTAATCAGTTTTCATATGTAACTAATTGCTGAGATTGCTGGGAGCTGAAGACTCTTCAAAAAAGTCTAACACCAGCATTAAAATCATAGGAGTTGGCAAGCAAACACTCTTAAATGAAGGCTTCACCAAAGCCTCTTTTAGTACTGTAACAATTTTGTCTTAAGGACTTAAGAATATTATTATGGCTTAAACAGCAAGGGATTTGTCTAAACATATACATCTGAAAGCTAAATTGTATTTTTCCAACTGATGAAATGAAAATAGATCTTTTTTGCTGGTTTTTTTTTCCCTTCTCCAAAAGGTTATGAGTACCCATGTGGCTGGCTGTGACAGTTGCACATGTGGGAATAAGGAGATGTGTTTTAAATTAATGCCCTGGTATTCAGCTTTAGCTCCTTACTACAGCATTGATTCCAGGGCTCATGTCCACATTTTAGAAGGGATGTTGGAAAACTGGAAAGTGTTCAGCAAAGAGCTATAAGAATGATTTCAGGTCTGGAAAACATCCTTTGTAATGAATGACTAATGAAACTCCATCTACTTACTTTTTCCAAGGGAAGTTTTTCCACAACCTTGTCATAGCCTGCAAGTTGCTACATGGGGAAGAGCCTTCTCCTAGATTAAATCTTGCAGAAAAGGCCATTAAAAGGCAGAAAGCTAAAGCTAAGCAAAAGTAAAATGAGAAACAAGGCAGGGGCTGGTAACCCTGATGGCCATGAAATAATGGCTGGCATAATTCTCAGATGAGAAGAAATCTCCTAGGGGTCTTTTTTAACCAACTGAGTATCTGACAGGGATGTTCTGGTTCGAGTAGGCTTGGTACTGTCCAAAGGACAACATTACTTAGTGAGGTTCACTGCCTGAGCTACATGGCAGGTAGGAATAAATATAATAACAACGAAATTGAAATACAGAAATTTATCTTATTAGTCTTCTCCTTATAATTTCCTGTTTCAATGATCCTTGTGAAAAAGGTGACAGCAGCCCAGCCACCAGAGTGCTGTCACCAGCTCTGGTGCATTATTGCCATGGTGCTCTGTCTCCAGCTGTTCTCTTGCATTTCAGACCCAGGTTGCAAGCTTTCCTGGGCTGTAAACCAGCTTTCCCTCCTGTGCAGCTTCTCAGGCAGCTGTGCTCTGGGTTCCAGGCACTGGGCTTGGGGAGCACTCTTGCTGCCTATACAGATAAATAACTTTTTGAATGGTGACTTCAAATATATTCCTGCGAGTTCAAATATTATGGCATTTCAAACATTATGTAATGAACAGGAGACCATTTATTCATTGAGTTTTAAAGATCAATACAATTTAGGGGGGGGGGGAAAACCCAAAACCACAAATGGAATTTTGAATTTTTTTTTTTTTCTTTACTTTCAAGAGTACAACTAATTTAGATTTATTTCTGAAGACTGAGTTTTATATGAATGCACTTAGAGGTGGAAGAGGCACTCAGATTTCTGGCACCCCATCTCCAGTGCAAGGGCATGATTAATTCATTAATGAAGCACAGCTTGTCAATGGTTAGCACTGGAAATATGGCATATTAAGAGCACCAAGTGTTCAACACACTGAATGGAGAAGTCTCTACCACTGTGCTGAAGCTTGCACCTAAAGAGCTGCAACCAAAATAAAGAGCAAAAATAAATTAAAAAACCATCATCCCATTCCTTTCCCTAGAGCTCTCAGGCTCTGTGCTACGGGCAGGGGCAGAGGGTAGAGCGCTTGTGTAATAAATAACAGCTTTGGCTAACAAAAAAGCAACTCCAGCAAAAATTGCTGAGAAGAGTCTAAATCCATCCTGCTGAGTAGAAGGAAAACAGCACCTACTGGAACCAGAGAGACCTGGGGAGGGCCAGAGCAGTATGCACTGGCACTCAGCAGTTAACATCAAGCACATAAAGTCACTTATTCACAACATCCAGGTCTGAGCAGCTGCTCAGAGCGGCGTGGGGAGGTGTGTCACCCACACCGTGCCCCCCTCCTCCTGCCCAGAGCTCCACCAGAGCGCAGGGATCAGGGATTCCAAACTGTGAAGCAATTTTTTCCAAGGGGAGCATCTGCTGTGCAGCTCAGGAATCGTGTCCAGGGCTGCCTCATGGTTGGGCTTGTGGCGGACAGGCCGAGCTGCTCTGGCCGCCCTGCCCCTTCCAGCATCAGCCTGCCCAGGGTCCTCCTCTCTGTGCCAGGGGGCTCGGGGGGGACAGCAAAGGGATGAAATATGGCTCTGCTGCCATCTCTCATTTGATTTGCATACATTTGCATGCTGGCCTTGGAGCCATTCACATTACAGGCCCCAGTGTGTGTGTCAGTGTGTGTGTGTGTGTGGAGGGAAATCCAAGATTCGGCATTATGCAATATAAATTACAGGGGAAGGAAGGAAGGAAGGAAGGAAGGAAGGAAGGAAGGAAGGAAGGAAGGAAGGAAGGAAGGAAGGAAGGAAGGAAGGAAGGAAGGAAGGAAGGAAGGAAGGAA